TACAAACTTTAGAAAAAAAAATCTTTTTTGAATTCTTTGGATTACAAATATTTATTTAACTGGGACTCTAAAGCTATTTGCAGATAAGAAGAAAAACTTCAACTTTTGGCCATCATGGATCAGAGACATGTAGACAGAACACACCAAGAAAACATAAATACCTCTCAGGAGGAGATATATAGTATACTGCAATTAATTCAAATAACACTGAGTTCAAATCACAAAGAAATCCAAAATAACTTTGAAAATACAAATCAATCTATGTCTAAGTTAACTTTACAGCAAAAAAACTTTCAGGAAACAACAACAGAGAAGGAGCAGACAAAACAAATAAGTGGACATAAAATTGAAACTAGAGACTCAAAGATGGAACTTAACAAAGCAAGAAAACATGATTTTACCCTAGTGGGAAAACATTTACAAGAAATGGAAAAAACAACTCTCCCTTAAGACTACAAAATAAATCTGAGGACAAAAAAACAGATTGGATAAAATGGAATGTAGAGATGTTGAAAACATCAGAGAGAAAGGAAGTATAAGAGAAGCAAAGAAGGAGAAAGAGAAAAAGATTTTCAAGAAACATGGAAAGGCAAAAGCCTCACATAAAGGCACTTTATTCAATTTACTTCTTATACCTACTGCAACAGTTATGCATATATGGAAAAACTTTTTGATTCAGCAAAACACATTGATCAAGAAAGATACTGGTCAAAGGAAAAAGATCAAAGTGAAAATTAAGAAAATAGATGATGGGATCTACCAGAGAGAATATTTAAAAAAGAAACATTTGTTTGACTATAGTTAAAGAAATAGAAAAGATTCTGAATACATATGTCATTCTAAGAGAGATGAATTCCTTAAATGATACTGTATGCTTCCCCCCCTTTTTATTTTATTTCTTGATATAAGTAATATAATACTGCTGAAATGGCCTAGATGAAGGAAATATTTTAGATAATTAAATGTGTCTGAATTTAGAAAAATTATAATGTATAAAAAAGAAAAAAAACCGTTTTAAATAAGAGTTAAAGGATTAGATGACTAGACACATTAAATGGAATATTTAAAGATTAAATATATTTTTAATTTCGGTTAAATAGAATAAGAAATTTTGGGAATGAATAGGAGGAATATATATTTTAAATAGTATTTTACTTTTTATGTTTCTTTACTCTTGCTCTTTTTTTCTTTTCTTTACTGTTTTTACCTATTCTTTAAGAAATGTAAAAGTGTTGAGATGGTTTATATGGGAAAAAATGGATTTAAATCTTTAAATGTAATTATCTGTTGAGAAAATCTTAACCAGCAAGAATACTTTGAACTTTATGGGAGAAACAAATCTAAATAAGGACTGTAACAGGATATAAGATGAGGCAACCAGAATGATTAGATAGAAAAGAAATATTATATTAATGTGATCATTATTTCTAGGAATATTGGGAAAAAAATCATATATGTAACTGTTATTTATCAAAATAATAACTGTATTAATTCAAGGTTTGCAAAGAAGACATTTTGGGGAAAAGGGGAAATCAACTAAATGTACTATGTGGATTATGGATTATAGAAACCAATTGTTAATGATTTTTCTTTACAAATGTATACCCAGCAAACACACTGTTTACCAACTATTAAGTGATTTATGTTTTAAAAAATCAATAAAATATATGGAAAAAAAGTAAAAATTTTAGATAACAAAATCTGGCAAGGGGAGTCTTTGCAGCACTGTTGATGGGGGAGGGGGGTGGGAATGTAAGAGGAATGTGCTTCATCATATCTGGGCAGAAATGGTGCCCACTGGGAGATGTAAGGGTTTAACGGAGCAAGGAGCTCCTAGAGCAGACAGGAAAACTTGTGGCAAAGAAAGTCTATTTACTTAACAGGCCATTGCTGGATCAACTGCAAGATTAAAAAAAAAAAAAGCAGCTGCTGATTAGTGGAGAACATAACCAATCATCAATCCAGGATCAAATGTTGCAGAGGACAGTTACCAGCCCATAAGAGGAAGCGATGTGCTGGCCATTGTAGCAGCTATAAACCATCAACTTACAAGGTTTAAAATGGTTTAAGATGGAAAACAGCAATTTTGAAGTGGAGTAGGGGAGAATCCACTTGTGGTCAGCTGGGAGTCAGTGGAGTGTGGCCTCCATTCTAGCAGTCGACAAGTGGTGGGTGGCCCATTCTGGGCATGGAACAAGCCAAAAGAGCAGATCTGTCTTTTGTTTGGATGGATAATCCAGGGTGACCATCAAATACCTTAGTATTGCCATGGGTCTGGTCTGGTTTGCTAGATCGCATAGTTGAGGTTGGAGAACTGAGATAGAGGTCACATCATAGTCCCCAGCTCAGTCCCCTCCCAATGTCTTGTGTGTTTTACGACCCTGGCTGTATTCTTATTGGCAGTTCTGCAGACTCTGTGTCTCCTCAGCCACTTATCTGCGTTCTGACTTTTATGCTCACTAGAACTTAATACAAACATAAGCAAGGCCAGAAAGAGAAAAAGAACAACAATCCTGTCTCTCATTACAAAATGCAGCTTCATGTTTCAGACTTCATCAAAGTCATAAAGCAATTCAAAATTATAGCAAAAACACTATATTGGCAAATGCAGGAAAAATACAGAAATTCCTAACAGTACACACATTAAAACATCTTAACCAGCTGGCTGTTTAAAATGTGTTTTGGGGGAGGTGAGTGAATTATAAAGGAGATTACTCCATTCATATCTACAATATGCTCATGGAGTTAGAGCTCAACCCAAAATAAATTTATTTACTTATATTTATGTATTTTTATCCTGCCTTTATTATTGTTATAAATAACTTAAGATTGCAAAAATACCTAATACTACTTCCTTCTTATTTTCCCCATAGCAACAATCCTGTGAGTTTGATTGGGCTGAGAGAGAATGATTAGCCCAAAGTCATCCAGCCCAGTTTTCATGCCGAAAGTGGGACTAGAACTCACAGTCTCCTGATTTCTGGCCAGGCGCTTTAACCACTACATACAACTATACTGCTGTATAATCTTCAAGAAATCTGGGACCTTCTTTGAGCTATTCTCACATTCATGGCAGTTGATTTGAGGAATGATTAGAACTCCTTAATGTATAAATCTTTGTGCAATTCAAGATACGTCAACAAAGTATGAGCTGTAAGAGTAAATATTGCATGGACTTTTTTTTTTTTTTTGGCATGGTAAAGAACTCCCGGTTAAGTTTTATTTCCACTGTAGGAAATGGCATAGTTGGGCCTCAAATTAGCTGTGTGAATTCATCCACCTTTGCATCTGCCTTTTTGATCCTATGGTCAAAATGTGGCGACTACATTGACTACTGTGTTCAATAAATATGATTTCAGTCTTATTGATGAACCAAATTTTAGATACTACAACAAACTTCCCAGTTCCTGATTTATCCAACTAGCTGGTTCTAGCCTAGATTCCAATTTCTTCAGTCTTATATCAAGTGTTGCCTGCAATATTGATAGATCAGGTGAGTTTATCTAGATGATGGCGAAGGAGACCAAGAGAAGCTTATTTTTAGACAAAGACAAATATATTATGAGGATTTGACTTTCTCCTGAAACGAATGTGTTCTAAAAAAATAAACCTATTAAAATAATGCTGCTTTATTTTTTTAGGTTGTGATCAAATTGAAAGGATTTTCTAATGGAATTAGAAATTGAATACAATTAGTTAATGACCTTATTTTTGAATAAAAACTTGGAGCTTATTCATCACTCCTAGTACATCTGCTAGTTTATTTATTTTTATATGTTTAAGGGGTCTATAAAACAAACTGATATTGTACAAGCAGTTTATGAATAACACTAATTTTAATGGTTTTATTTTACATGTAAACAAATCATGATCCAGCTCATTAATATTTCCCAGATTTCACAAGTAATTGTTGCTACATATAATGAGAAGCTGACAAACTTAAAATTGTCTGAACTTTATGGATTTACAACTAAATTCGTCATTAATTTCAATGATCCAAAAATTCGTAGCTGAGTCTGGCTATACCCAATTGTTTGGTTGATATGCAGAATGCAATTAGAAATGATAATTAGACAGCACTGGTTACAGCAACCTAATTTCAAAATTAGGGCTCCTTCCTCTGTAATTATTTTATTTATCTGTCCTTAACTATAGTGATTCACTTAAGCAAGAAAGAACAATCAATCAACCAACCTTTATTTAAATATACACATGCTAAGGTTCTTCCAAGTAATGCTGGGTAGCAGGATTTGTTCTTTATGCAGCATTGAAAAGCCTGAAATGGTATCAGTATAAATTTCTTTGTCCAAGGATGGAAACTAGGAAGTCTTTAGAACTGAATCAAACAAGCAAACAAACAAACAAACAAACAAGCCATGAGTGAACAAACTATGAACTCTGTCTGGATTCATGTGAGTTGCAAAATATCTAGTTCTAGTTGCAATTTATCTATTTTAGATTTTAAAAAATCATCTGGAAATCTAAGCGAATATTTATTAACCATGTTTACCCAACGTAGGATGGGCAAAAGGATGGTTTCTTATTGAATTATTGCAGCGAATCTATCTTTTTGTTCTCTGTTTCCAGAAAATGTCAGAATAATATACACTAGCCACCTTTTTCAGTTCAACCAGGATTGGTGTTGTGAATGCAAAACTGTCACTAATATTTTTCCACACGTATGGCAAACTGCTACCTATATGTAATTTGCACTCCATAGGATCCCCATACTTGAAAAGGATTGCTCTGGCTTATCTGTTAGCCGTGCCACATTTCCTGAGCCTGAGATTAGAAGGATCATCAATGGTCTGAAAGGACCACAGGGCTGAGTCAGTTTAACAATGGCTTTGATCCCATTTTTTTTTCTTTAAGAAGTCAGTATTGCTGATTGCATCACTACATGAAATCCTTGCGTCCAAAGAGATTTTTTCCAATGAGTCAAGAAATGCTGGTGGGCAGTTTAGTGTTAAATTGTTTGGAGAAGAATGTGCGGAGTGTGTGGAATATGCATGCTCGCTCCAGTGGGCTAAATTTTAGAGCTAATAATGTGTCAGGCAAGGCTAGAGCAGCCTGGTCTGCCAAACAACCTGCCCTTTACCAATTTGATCAAACAGCCATGGTTTCTCTGACTGTCCCTGAAGGGCCATTCATCTTCCATCAGTGATCCTATATGAGATGGGTGTGTTCCCTCTATGGCTCTGAAAGGCATTTCTAGTAAAAAGATAAATATCCTCCTTGCAATTCTTGGGCTTTGGGTGTTCCTTACTCTGGGAAAGGATTTAAAGCTGTCTGCCAGACCCGTGGGCTGTTACAACAAGACAGTGCCACAATGCTGAGCTCAGGCCGGCGGATTCCCCTCCTTTCCCTCCTCCTCCTGCTGCTCTCAGCGATGGAGCTGAGCTGGTCCTTTACAGATGAGGAAAAGCAGCAGATTGTGGACAAGCACAACCTGTATCGTTCCATGGTTTCCCCTTCAGCTGCAAATATGCTGAAAGTGGTAAGTTTGTGGTGATGGGCTTTGGTGGAGTTGGGGAATTCAGAGATTTCTATCTCTTATCATGAATATATGGCAACTTTGCTTGAGTGTTATAAAAATGAACTTTAAAAAAAACAACCCTTTAGTGTCCCTGTGTGTTCAGTTGATGAAGAAAAGAAAAGTGAGAAATTTGAATTCAGTGACCAGTTACTGTAAATGACCTTTCTGGATATGCCTTGTGTTTCCTGGTGTATTTTACAAGTTAACTACTGTTTTAAACAACTGTGACCTATTTTTGTGCAAGGGTGAGAATGTGTTTGTGTGGTGGGGGGAGGAGGGTTTGCAGTTTTTCTGTTCTTAAGTCAATCTGCTTACCTGTAATCTACTGAAAACTAACTTTTCTTCTGGAACTTTTGAATGGAACAATCCTCTGATTCTTATCAATTTCCTGCTATGAATTAGAGCTGTCATAAAGTATTCTGTGTGAATCTAAGGTAAGGAAGCCAGTGTGGGCCATTGTTACAGGAGTTCTGTATCAAGTTATAACACCAGGGCTATAAAAGCCTAAAAAGGATTTCATTTTCTGTATGAAGAGCCCATAGCTATTGGATTATAGTTCTATTCAGAAAACATCCTCTGGGCTTTTACAGGTGGTGGTGATGGTCGTCTATATATGTGTGTTTTTTCCTTTTAGAAAATATGGTTTCAGCACGTGAAACTCATTAGTTGCATGGGATACAAAACAGATTTTTTTAAATATCCCAGCTCTGCTACTGTTCTAGGAAACACAATAATCAAACAGGAATTTGTTATCACTGATTACATTATTTCCCCTTCTCCATGTCTGCCTGTCAACCAGCTCCAACTTCATTAAGGTTCTGTTTGTAACACGTAGGATAATAGCAATGTTACCGATGCCAAGGTAAATATATTGACCCACTTCCCACTACACATGCACATTTTTTTTTGCATTCTTATAAATGTTACCCTTTTGCTCAGTGGTGGGATTCAGCCAGTTCGCACCACTTCGGCAGAACCGGTAGCTAATTTTTGGTTGCCCAGGCCCAGAATGGACTTCCAGAAGCGGCATCCACACAGAGAACCAGTTGTTCACATATTTGAATCCCACCACTGCTTTTGCTGTACAGACTCATTTCTCCCCCTCGTGCTGTTTTTTGGGTGTTGGGGAGGGTACTAGATGCAGATTCAGATTTTTTTAAAAAATAGTGTTAGCAAAAAAGAATCTCAGGATTTGATTTGCTTGGTGGAAATCAAAGGCTGGACATGTCCCAAATATATTTGTAAATGAAGACAAACTGTTCTGTTGAGGTTTCAAGTAGCCATTGACTGAAAACCAGCAGCACATTTTAAGACTATGGCCAGGTTTCCCTGTCACCAGAATGGGATGACAATTGTTTCTGGAGGGCAGTAAGGGATGATGTCACCCTCTATTAATCCCTCACTCACCCCTAAAGCAACTTCAGGAGACATTTTCCTGATTCATTTCCAAAATACACTTTTCTATGTTATGTCACCTTGAGCTTCTGCCCATTTGGGTTAGTATGCTTCAGTTCATTCAAGTTAACTCCAGCATGAATTGGCTCCTGTGATAAAACAGAAACACTGTTTCAGCTGACCCAGTGCCTACCATGCTATTTCAAAACTTTTAGAGCTTCATTTTACTTTGAATTCTAGGATAGCACAATGACTACAGATAGTCCTCGACTTGTGGCCGCAATTGAGTCCAAAATTTCTGTTGTTGAGACATTTGTTAAGTGAGTTTTGCCTCATTTTATGACTTTTCTTGCCACAGTTGTTAAGTAAATCACTGAAGTTGATAAGTTAGTAACTCTGTTGTTACGTGAATCTGGCTTCCCCATTGACTTTGCTTGTCAGAAGGTCACAAAAAGTGATCACATGACCCTGGGGCACAGCAATGGTCATAAATGTGAACCAGTGGCCAAGCATCTGAATTTTGATCACATGATCATGGGGATGCTGCAAAGGTCGCAACTGTGAAAAACAGTCATAAGTCACTTTTTTCAGTGCCCTTGTAACTTTGAACGATCACTAAAAGAACTGTTGTAAGTCGAGGACTATCTGTATACCATTTTCTTATTTTAAAAAGGTGCTGGTTTGAAATGCAGCAGATTTTTTTTTAAAAAAAAAAACTACACTTGAGATAAAAGGATGCACTTCTAGATCCCCAAAAGCCCATAGTTATTTAAATTACATGGATGCTGAAGTGAAAGCTACTTTGAGTAACCCCCCAAAATATGATGAAATGATACACCACTAGACATTTCTCTATGACTTAAAAAAAAAGCACAGGTTAAAAGTAGCAAGTTCAGGAAAATGAAAATATTTTTTAAAAAATCTGCGTTGTTTCAAATAATCAGCCTTTTATTTGCAAGAACTATAGTCATTGTGCTATTACAGCATTTATAATAAAGGAGGCTCTGAAAGACACAAAAAAGCAATAGGACAGTAGGACATGATATTTAAAATAGGTTATGCCTGTTTGCACGTGCATTCCAGTGCTTTGTTTTTAAATTATTATTTTTTTTAAAAAAAATTGCACACCTGTAAAAAGTGTGTATGTCTAGGAAGACAGAAAAGAAGGTGACTGGTCATTGCTTCCCTGGAATAATAATAAAGTTGGTAGGGACCTTAGAGGTCATTTAGTCCAACCCCCTGCTCAGGCAGGAAACCCTATATCATTTCAGACAAATGGCTTTCCAGTCTCTTCTTAAAAACTTCCAGTGTGGGAGCATTCACCGCTTCTGGAGGCAGGTTGTTCCACTGGTTAATTGTTGTAACTGTCAGGATGTTTCTCCTTAATTCTAGGTTGCTTCTCTCTTTAGTTTCCATCCATTACTTCTTGTTCTGCCTTCAGATGCTTTGGAAAATAGCTTGACTCCCTCTTCCTTCTCCCTCAGGCAACCCCTGAGATATTGGAACACTGCTAACATGTCACCCCTCGTCCTTCTCTTCATTAAACTAGACATACCCAATTCCAGCAGCCGTTCCTTATATGCTTTAGCCTCCAGTCCCCTAATCTTATTTATTTATTTATTTATTAAATTTATATACCGCCCTATCTCCCTTACGGGACTCAGGGCGGTGAACAGGCGATACTAAAAACCACAATAATAAATAAATAGTTTCTGTTCTAAAATCAAATTAAATAACAGGCCTGTTCTAAAAACACCCCATACAAAAACCCCCACTAAAACATAATCAAACTACGCCAATCATCAAACAATCATCTTTGTTGCTCTTCTCTGTACTCTTTCTAGAGTCTCAACATCTTTTTTACATCGTGGTGACCAAAACTGGATGCAGTATTCCATATGTGGCCTTACCAAGGCATTGTAAAGTGGTATTAACACTTCACGTGATCTTGATTCTATCCCTCTGTTAATGCAGCCTAGCACTTGGCTGCACAACAGCAGGGAAACTGTCTGATAGGAGAATGTGGTACTCTGCATTTTGGAAAATGTCTCAGTCTGGACCCAATTTTCTCAAGCCTTTCTAGAATTAAGGTGGCATGAGCACAGGACTGAAGCAGTTAAACACTAAGTGCAGACAAGCCCTAAATCCATTTTCTTTCAGCTGGTGGAGAGCTGCATCCACAGAAAGCTTTGAGCAGGTATGAGTGAGGTAAGAAAAATATGGAGGGGGGGGCTTGCTAGAGGAGAAATTGGTCCTTTGCCAGAAAATTAATTCAAGTAGAAATGATTTGTATAGGGGATTTGAGTAATAAATTAGGCTGGAGTAAATTGAAAGGGCAAGGATTGCTGTTTGCTAATGGCTGTGGCTCAAACCACATCTCTGCCTTGCAGTCTGTGTGGTTTTCAGCAGGTTGTTCCCAGGAGTCCAAGTGAACTTGCAGCAGTGGAATCTTGAGAACTGACTCTTTTTAATGACAAATACAAGTAGACATGTAGCCAAAGATTAAAGGGCAGTGGCAGATTTTTGGGGGGAGAGGGGGGCTGTCTTCTTATTCCTTTTACTAGCCCTGAAAGGAGAAACATATATATACTGTATATATTCTGTAAGGGTTCATCCATGGAAGCATGTATTTTTGGTGATAGAAGGCTGCATTTTACTATCTTTGTGATGGAAAGGAAAGATGCAGTAGGGGGATAAATCACATCACAAAGTAGGTGGTGCTGGATTTTCCCCCCGTTTTTTCCCTCTTGTTTTGGGGAGAAAATTGGGACTTTGCTTTTTCTAAAATAATATATCTGTGAGTTATTATAAGAGAAATAAACCTTTTCAGCATAATGTAAACACCATATGAAGGCAAGGACAGAGAACAGTGCAATAGACTAAATAAAAATGAGGGCCCATCATAGTAATGGCAATTAATGCAATATAAAATCCAAATTATTACATGGTAAGACACCTTCCCTCCAACCAAAACAAAGTTCTGAGAAACGAAAAATGTGTTGAGACTGTTCTTAATTGTCCGAAACCTATTTTAGGTCTTACACTTCACCATTGAAAGTCAGCAGTGTAGTCAGAGTTGCATGGGTCATAAAAAGAGGGTGTGAAGGCACAAACGGCATATTAGTAGGACAGTATTTTCCCAGATTTGTCCAGGTATCAATCTGATCTTCATATTTTGTGAACATGAGAAAAACTATTACTCTGGATCAATCCTTTTCTCTTATATAGAACTAAATGTGATAAGTCTGGCTGACAAGGACATTTGCCTACACCTAAAAAGGGGTGGGGCTTTGATGGTGTGGTCCTGCCATCGTCTTGACTTCGTTGACCCCAGGAGCTGCCAGCTCCCTTTTGTTCCCTTTCTGCACTAAAGCATGAGAAAGACCTATAAGGGTGCTACTTTTTGCTCAAGGGTTTTGTGGATGGGAGATATACTGCTGTATTGTATTGCATTCAGTGCAAATTTTTGGGACGGCGCTTTTTGCTAACGCTGCTTCCCTCAATTCTAAATGTGCTTGTGAGACGATTATCTCGACAATCTAGATCAGAGTTATTTATTTTTTAGG